AGGAAGAGGAGGACGAGGAGGAGGAGGAGGAGGAGGAGGAGGAGGAGGAGGAGGAGGAAGGAGGAGGAGAAGAAGAGGAGAGGAGGACGAGGAGGACGAGGAGGTCGAGGAGGGAGGAGGAGAAGGAGGGAGAGGAGGAGTCAGAGGAGGAGGAGGGGGAGGAGGAGGAGGAGGAGGAGGCGGAGGAGGTGCGGAGGAGAGGAGGAGGAGGGAGGAGAGAGGAGGAGGCGGAGGAGGAGGAGGAGGAGGAGGAGGCGGAGGAGGATGAGCAGGCGCAGGAGGAGGAGGAGGCGGAGGAGGAGGATGAGGAGGAGGACCAGGAGGAGGAGGAGGAGGAGGAGGAGGAGGAGGAGGAGGATGAGGAGGAAGGGGAATGTATTTGGGATGCGTTTCCCGGGCCTCTGGTGACCTGTCTGGGAGGATAAGGGGGAGGACGGGGATGGGAGGAGAATGAGGAAGATGATGATGAGGAGGAGGAGGAGGAGGAAGAAAAGGAGGAGGAGGATGAGGAGGACGAGGACTCCCGAAGAGGCTCCAAACCGCTCCAAAAAATGCCCCAGACAGCCTAGATCATCAGCATCTTTGATTTCTGATTTCTTAGAAGGCCCACGAGGGCGTCGAGAGGGTTCGAACAGGGCCCAAGAGGGCTCCATGAGTCTACCAATATGGCCCATTAAGCCTCGATGATGTTCCAAGGCGCGCCCAGATGCCCCAGGAGGCCCACAAGAGGCTCCAAGAGATGTTTTGAGACACTCCAAGAGAGGCACCAGACAATCACCTTCTCGGCTCAACATGGTTTACAAGAGGACTTCGGAGGAATGAACCATTACACTAGAGGGCACGAGGCTTGTAAAAGGAGCCCAGAGGAGTCCAAGGCGGCCTGAGAGAGCCCCAAGACGGCTCAAGACGACGCCAAGATGACCCGACAGAGCCCACAGCGGGGCGCCCCGAGCGCAAGAGGGCCGAGAGGCCTCCAGAAAGACGCCCCGACAGGTCCCCCCAAAAGGGCCCCCCCGACGCCTCCGAGAAGCCCCAGCGGTAGCGACCCGGAGGCCCATCCGTAGCCCTCTTCGGCTCCAGGTAGTCCCCGACTTCTCTTGCCGAGCGCGAACTGGGCCCAGGGCCCGCTCGTCCACAGGTGCTCCATGTGCCTCGGCCAGAGGGTGGAGTGCGGCGGCCTCTCGCAGGCCACCGCCGAGCTGTGCGCCGAGCAGCGCGGCGGGAGCCCCCTGGAGCCGCAGGGCCTGGAGGACGCCCTCTTCGACGCGGGCGTGGCGGACGAGCTCGTCGAGTTCCACATGGAGAGGGAGCGCAGGAACTTGTCTCCGCGAGGCAGCGGTGCCAGAAATGCGCCCCTCGACGCTGGACTGCGCGACGCCGGGGTGAGGTTCATGTGGGGCCTCTGCCAGCTCGTCGGACTGCCTCATGCGGCCGGATCCCAGGCTGCCGCGCTACTCGACATCGCTTGCCTGCGCCACGATGGGGGAATACTCGCAGGACATCAGTATCGTTTAACCGATCCCCATCCCCATCCCCATCCCCATCTCGACCCCCACCATCCCACCACCCCAGTTGGGGATATGCCCCTCGAAACTCGAACGGAACAGCCTATGTCCCCATCTAGGGGGATAAATCGGCCAGTGTGGCCCAGGCCACGCCCGCGGGGATAGGGATCGGTTAAACGATGCTCAGGACACTTGCCTCTGGTGTGCACGGTGATCGTGAAGCTGTTGAAGAAGACGGACACGGCGACCATTTTCGTGTCCAACGCGTCCGTGCTCCCGCACGCGCAGCGCATGGTGGGCTGCCTCAGGCAGCTCGGTCACCACGTTCCAGACGCCACCGAGGACGTGGAGAGTTTCTCCGAAGGGCTTAGGCGACCCGTCCTCCTCCTCCTCTCTCTCTCTCTCCTCCTCCTCCTCCTCCTCCTCCACATTCTCCTCCTCCTCGCCCTCCCCTCCTCGGGTCGCCTACGGCCCCATGGGAAACCGTCCACACCGAGGACGCACTGAGGTTCGAAGAGACCAAGCTGCTAGTGACGCTGCAGTGGGAAACCCAGCCCTCCACGATTGAGAGCTGGGTCTCGATCTTCCTCTCGCGCTTCAACATCATCACTCGTGGTATCCATGCGGCCAAGATGAACAAGGTCTGGGAGCAGAGCATGCTGTGTTCCCAAGCCCTCGTGACGAGGCTCCCAGCCTCGCCAGAGATGCCGCCCCTGGCGCTGGCCCGAGGGCTGTTAGGCCTGAGCTTCGTCTGCGTAGGCCTGCTGCCGATGGAGGCCGCTGACACCTCTGCCATCCTGGGCTCGCTTCAGACGGCGGCCATGGCCTGCCCAACGGAGCTGCAGGCGGCTTGCGAGCGAGCGGTGGCCGCCTTGCAGCAGGCGGGCAGCGAGGTGCAGACGGTGGTGGCAGCCCACAGGGCGAGAGAGGGTCCGACTTCGGCCGCTGCTGCCCAAGTCCGGGCGGGAGCTGGCGGCCTCGCAGTGGAGATGTAAGCGGTCTGCGGAACCACAAGACTTCGTTGCGTGCCCACAGCGATGTGTCCACTGTCTGGTGCCCACGGGTGTTCCCCATCTCTCATTCAACCTTCCTCCTGCCAGGAGTGCGCGCAGCGAGTAGATTGCGTCAGTGCCCACGGGAGCGCGCCTTTTTGTGCATCCTGGCCGTTTTTAGGGCTCCCAGTCGTTTCAGCCCCTGGAGATGCACGCGCGTGGCAGGAGAGTACGGGCACGTGTGCTTGTGCATATATATATATATATGTTTATGTATATTCACAAATGTATATGCGTACATACAACCATACATACATACATACATTCATACATACACACACATACACATACATACATACCTACACATACATATATATATACACATACATACATACATACATACACATACACATACACATACACATACATATACATACATACACACACATCCATCCATACATACATCCATGCAAACATACACACATACATGCATGCATGCATACATACATACACACGTACACCCATACATACACACATACCTACATACATACATACCTACACACGTACATACATACGTACACACATCCACATACATACATACATCCACATACATACACACATACATACATACATACACACATACATACACACATACACACATACACACACATACATACACACACATACATACATACATACATACATACATACATACATACATACATACATACACACATCGCTATACACATGCATACATACATCCATACACACATACATACACACATACACACATACATACATACACACATACATACATACATACATACATACACACACATACATACATACATACATACATACATACATACATACATACACACACGTACACACACATACATACATACATACATACATACATACATACATACATGTATACATACATACAACTGTACATATGTACATACACGCATACATACGTTCATCCATACATACATACATACCTACACACATACATACATACATACACACATACATACATACATACATACCCATCAATCCATACCTACCTACCTACCTACCTATCTACCTACCTACATACATACACACATCCATTCATTCATTCGTACATGTATACATACATGCACGCATACATACACACATACATATATACATATATATATATACACACCCTTACATAATGCAAACATATGTATATCCATTCACACATACACATATATGCACATGTTTGTATACATGTACATATCTTTTTATGCGTGTATACATGTAATGGCCTTTGGCCCATCACGCCATCACGCCTGGGTTGTAGGTTGTAGGTCAGAGGCCTCTTGGATGTTTGTTTGGATCTCTCGGAAGGCCTCTCGGAAGCCTCATTGATGCAGTGCTTGGGTTTCTTGAGGCCTGTTAGGCTTCCTGGGATCTTTGTAAGCCTCCTGGGGGCCTGCTGGCGGTCTCGGGGGTCATCTTGGGTAGAGGACTTGGACATTCCAGTTTGTATTCTCCCTCTTCGGCCCCTCTGGGTGCCCTCTTCGGCCCTCTTCGGCCCCTCTTTCTTGGACAGTCTGAGGGCTATCCTTGGCCGTCTTAGGGCCCTCTTGGGGGCCTCTTGCGCCGTCTTTTGGGCGATCTTGCGAACCTCTTGAGCCGTCGTTGAGCTCCAGGGGCACGAACAGGCGAGACTGCCAACTCCTTCCAACCACCTCAGGGAAATCATTGGCTTCAGCCTTGGGGGGGGGGCGGGAGCTCTTGGGCAGCCCCTTGTAGCCCTCTTGGGGCGCTATTCTCCTCCTCCTCTTCCTTCTCCTCCCCCTCCTCTCCCCCTCCTCCCCTCCTCCTCCTCCTCCTCCTCCTCCTCCTCCTCCTCCTCCTCCTCCTCCTCCTCCTCCTCCTCCTCCTCCTCCTCCTCCTCCTCCTCCCCCCTGTTGGGCCATCTTGGGGCTATCTTTGAGCGGCTCGGCGCGCTCTCGGATCCTCGGGGCGGCCGGTCGGGCCCCATCGTGGGCCGTCTTAGGCGCCCCCTGGCCCCAGGACACGTCGCAGGGGGACCACCCGAGAGCACTCAAGAGCGCCCCTCCGCGCACGAAACGTCGGGTTGAGGGCCCCAGTACGCAAGGGCGCCCTCGAGGGCGCGAAGTTATTCGCGCTTCGCGCTTCGCGGTTCGGCTCCGATTCCTCCTCATCCTCCTCTTCTCCCTTGGGAGGCGGCGCGAGAGCGCGAAGTTATTCGCACTTCGCGCTTCGCGCAGCGCGAAGCGCGAAGTTGGGAGCCCTTGACTCAAGAGCGCCCCTCCGCGCACGAAACGTCGGGTTGAGGGCCCCAGTACGAGTGTTCTAGTGTATAAGAAAGAGAACTCTAAGAGACGCGCGTGCATTCTGCTTTGTGTCTCGACGCACGGTGGCTGATATACACGTATATGTTTATGCCTATGTACAGATATATGTATATAGACATACATATAGATGAACACATTTCCCACACATACATTCACATCCATCCAATTGTACATGTACATATACACATACACATACACATATACAGATGAACGTACATATACACACATACGTGTATACATATGCATACACACATGCACGTACGTGTACATACCGATAGTTTTATTTACAGAGATTCAGATGCAACTTCATTAACACATACACATGTACACACTAATGTATACACATGTATGTGCATATCCACATATACACATGCATCTACATATTCATCTGCATGCGCGTATACGCCTGCATTTACATATACATGTATATATGCGTGTAAGGTACATTCACTTATGCATGTCAATACACATTTACATATACATTTACACACACGTTCACATTAACACATACATCTACAACCGCATGCACATATATACAACCATGCATGTCCGTGTGCATAATTATACAGCTACCTATACATATGCATGTTTACACATAAACACACATTTGCACATGCAAACACATCCACATGCACACATACACATATACATCTGTCTATACACACACGTGTCCACGCATGTACATACACATATCCATACACTTATACAGATACACATCTACACACATGTACGCATCTACATATTAGTGTACTACGCATATCCGTATACGGTGTATGTACCAAAGTATAGATGTACACATGTACATATACACATACATATAGATATATACGTGTACGAAGCCATGAGCATATATAATTGTTTTGTATGCGTATACGTACACATGCACATACACACATTCATATCTACGTACATTGTCATGCACATCTACTTGTGCATGTACATATACATACAACCATGCATATACATTCGAACCTCCATGTATGTCTATACGACTACATATACATACTAAAAATAGTTGCATATACGTATGCATATCCATGCGTATCTGTACACACATATGCACACGTATTCGCATTCGCATACATTTGCAGACACATATTCATATGCATTCGAACTTCGAGGTACATGTGCATGCACATTTGCACATACCTATAATCATGCATACATGTATGCATATACATATATGTATAAGTACATGGACATGCACGTATACGTACACATCGTATATCTATACATAGACATATACTATATGTCTTCATATGTATGTATATATACATATATACACATACATGTGTATATATACAAAGATGTTTATCAACACAAATGCATCAATATAGACGCACATTTATGATTATATATGTATGTACGCACATATGCACATACATATTTGTTTTATGCATGTATGCATGTATGCATGCATGTATGTATGTATGTATGCATGTATGCATGCATGCATGTACGTATGTATGTATGTATGTATAGTGGCCTTCGGCCCATCCCGCCACCGTGCCTGCGTTGTATGCACCTGTGGGGATCTCTTTGGATGCCTCTCGGAAGCGTCTTGGCTTCGGTATTGGGATATCTTGGGGGTCTTCCGGGAGTCTCTTGGGGGACTTTGGGGGCCTCCTGCTTGTGGGCGGACTGTCCGGCGGGGGGTCTTCGGCGGTCTCGGGGGCCATCTTGGGGCGAAGGGCTCGAAATCCCTCTCTGGGGCTTCGCTTGGACCCCTCTTGGGGTCCTCTCGGGCCGTCTTGGGAGCCTCTTTGGCCGTCTTGGGGCCATCTTGGGCCGTCTTGGGGAGCTCTTTGGGGCCTCTCGGAGTCCGAGAGGTCGAGACCGTCTTGGGGCGATCTTAGGGGGCCTCTTGGAAAGTCTCGGAACGTCGAAAATCCGACAGGCGAGAACACTAGACTTTTTCCCAAACCCATGGGGATCAATGAATTTGGCACCTGGGGCCATCTTGGGGGGCCTCATGGAGCCATCTTAGGGCGTCTTGGAGGCCTCTTCGGCTGTCTTTGGGCCATCTTGGGCGTCTTGGAGCGCTGTCGGGACCGTCTTGGGCCCTCTTGGGTGCCTCCGTCTTGGGGCTTTCTGGGAAAGTCATGTGACCAACCCCAGGAGCGAGCGAGCGGGAGAGCCCAGAAGATTTGAGATTTTGGGTTCTTTTCCCTTGCTCCAATGACTACGCCGCTGAAAACAGAGTACAGATAGCTCTCAAGCACCTGGGGAACATGCCACTTCGTGCGTCGAGGTATAGTGGCGGATTCACACACACATACACATGTGTGTATTGTCTTACTGCATATATATGTGTATCTGCAGACATGTAATATGTTTATATCTACATATATGTATATGTATGTATCTGTTCTTGTTTATATATACGTCTATGTATGTATGGATATATTTATGTATATGTAGATGTACATGTACGTGTATATGCATGTGTAAATTTATATGTGTACGTATATATATATATGTGTATGTGTGTATGTATATGTATTTGCTTAGTCATTTGGATATGTATATTTATATGCAGATGTCTATGCATACGTATATGTGTATGTATGTGTTTGTGTATATGCATATGTATATGTATACGTATATGTATATGTATATGTATATGTATAGGTATATGTATATGTATATGTG